TCTCTCTCTCTCTCTCTCTCTCTCTCTCTCTCTCTCTCTCTCTCTCTCTCTCTCTCTCTCTCTCTCTCTCTCTCTCTCTCCTCCTCCTCTCTCTCTCTCTCTATATATATATATATATATATATATATATTAGGTGCCGCAGTTCAACGCAGTTATATGCGCGCGGAAAACGCAGCGTGGGTGTGAGAATTGAGAAACGGCAAAGAAGACAGCGAGTGCAATATTTAAGCAGCGACGTTCGAAAAAATCAGAAATTGTTTGGTTTTGTTATTGGCGTTCTCACATTTTCTGTAGTTACTCGCGATACCTTAACAATATCTCCACTCTTTGTTTCCAACCCCTCTTCCCTTCACTATAGTGTTCTAGTGTCCGTCTTCTAGATAGATAGATAGATAGATAGATAGATAGATAGATAGATAGATAGATAGATAGATAGATAGATAGATAATAGGTTTATTGCAAAACTAGTGTTACAATTAAAATAAATTGTGCAAACAAGTTATCATCAGGCAGTATAAAACTGAAATTGACGATATTTACAATAATATATGTCCCATGGTAAGACATAGATATCACTTAAAATGTTGGTTCGTAAAATTATATCACTACAACTAAAAACCATCTTTAGAATATATACTAAATTTAAAATAACGTGATCCTTGGTCAAAAAATAGTTACAATTAAAATGCGACACAATGATAGAATCAAACATATCACATAACCGAAAGTTGCCCAGAGAGTACTGTTATTTCAAAGAGACCAAAATGTTTATAAAGGGGCGCAAGCAAAAGACTAATTATCCATGCTATTGTAAAAAATTCAGTGCCTGTTTACAATTTGTTAATCATCCTGCACATGTATACGGAACAGGGCTATTGAAGTACCGGCTGGTACGAGGGACTTTTGCAAGCCGGAGTTTACTAGAATTCCGTGTTATGCGGTTAGACACATTTATTGCTGAAGGAGGGCAAATATCCTGTAATCGTTTACAACTTTTGAGCTGATAAGCAACATTTTCACAAAGCTGCTCGCGACGAAACGCAAGTCTTTGGATCTGAAGCTGAGATAGTACCTCATCGTACATGTCGTACCTATTCCAATTATTATAACCTATTATTATTTTCACTGCCCTTACTTGAACAGATTCAATTAGAATTCTATCAATTATTCAATAAATAATGTAAACCGCTAAGCGTGAACAGTGCGCTATCTCTTATGAAGGCCATGTGATTTGCGTGTAGATCAGGCACCTCTACAATAAGCAGCATGTAGCCATATAATTAAGACAGCATATATAACATAACAAACACGTACGCATTTAGGTACGTAAGAAGATAGTCATTCTGCACATACACACACGCACACACAAAAACATATGGCATGAGTTTTGCAAGCATGAACTCCGAACACTGCTTAAATTAATGTATATAATGTAAAAAAAATGTAAAATGTATAATGTTAAATTAATGTATATACACTAAATCCACGCTTATGAAACTACGTCAAATTACAAAGGTAGAACCACACCTTGGCACAGGGTGCGGGGTCCCTATATTTACCAGAGTTACCGAGCAAGTAGTAACATTAGGAAACACGTGGATATAGTATTCAAGATCTACAGCTGCATGGCATTGATACGTTTACATACAAAACCCAAGAAATCGATGTGGCTCTTGTTAGTTCTACTTTTTTCGCGTAGGGCCTCTACCCACAGTCTGCGCTACGCAAAATATGCATCGTAACCATCGTCTGTTTGGTTTTGATTGGTATTGGTGATCGATAATCGATCAGTAGTCGACATCGCACTGATGATCAGTTCCGTCTAACCTTATATCAAATGTAAAGAAATTTTTCAAGCGAGTGTAATTATTCCCACTGATGTAGTTCTGCGAAAGATGAGTAGCTAGGCCTACTTTAGGACCAAAAGGCGGCCATATTATAGGAAAACAACTTCCTAGCCTAGCTTAATTTACAGTAATATTTGCCTGCATTACAATTACACATTACAATTACACATTGTGATACAGTCCGGTGTGCTCATGTGCATTGCCGTGATATGCGCGCGCCCTATATCGTATAAAAAGGTCCTAATTCCTAATTACCTTGTTATGTAATTATCGTGATTGCGTGTAGGCCTACATATTGCGTCGCATAACGCACTATGGAGTGCGTTATGCGACGCAGTATGTTCGGCATTTTGTAGCAACTAAATCCTATTAATATATTAGTGCGTAGGTAGGCCTACATGTTTAGGCCTATCTACAATATCACGCTAACTCTGAACAGTTTGTATCGGGAAAAAGTAATGCCATTTCATATTATTTATTAATTTCATATGTGGCTTGCAAATGTCTATGTCAGATCAAACAAGTGATATGTGTAAACTGTAAATATTAGCAAAATCTATAGATATGTAATTAAACACACATTACTAAGGTAATATTACTACTTTTATGTCACTTTTCCTCTTTTTCTTCTTCGTCTTCGTCACTGTCATCATCATCGTCGTCGTCGTCATCATCATCATCGTCGTCGTCGTCATCATCATCGTCATCATCGTCGTCGTCATCATCCCCGTCCACGAAACCTTGTGCTCGTTTAACGTAGGTCATAATCATTTTCTCCAAGTTATTCGTATTTGCCCCTGCAGTCTCGTCAATCTGAAATGACAAAATGCATCATCACTGTAGCAATCGTAAAATTCAAGCGATTTGTTACGCGCAATTGCGTGAAATCAGTTGCATTACAACGTGGATCATGAATGTTTTATATATCTGCGAATTATTAAAAAGAGAGCAGCATACATCTTATTGAGGTAGAATTGATGAAGAGCTCATAATAGAGATATATCTCTATTATGAGCTCTTGAAATGATATAACCTGTTCGCTATCGTTTTATGCGTTTGCGACTAAACTGGATTGGTGCAGATAGTAGAGTAAAAGTAAAGTACAAGTAAAGACTGAAGTGTCTTAGCTTGACGGTCACCTTTTCGCCATCTTTAAACACCATAAAGGTGGGCATACACTGTATCTGAACCTTCTCCGCTAGATCCTGAAAAATTTCGATATCATTTTGAGAGTCGCTGTGGGAATTGATATGCAGCGCGTATCGTGGCAAAATCGTCAGACTTTATTAGTTGGGAAATTCTTTTGTAAAATCAATGAACGTGAAAGAAAAATTGCACAGGCGCCGGCGCTGCCGAGGCGATTGTTGCTCCGTCATCGTTACCAACGCAGAATATCCATTAACGCATTCAAACTATCAATCCTGCTATCACGAAAAAGGCGTCCACGTTTACAAACGTACTCTGCTTTCTAAAAAGAAATAATGTGGCAATGCTGCAAATTTCGCTCCATGCGCTAACTCTTGTCCAAAATGTCGTTCTATATTTTCTACCCTCCGTAGCCGCTGATATTTATCATGATTGCTCTGGCCACTGACCCTATATACGAGTAAAAAATGTAATATAGATTCCCCTGTGATACTCACGGGATGTTCATCTACGTCGATCTTGGCGAATATCAAATTTTGGCTGTACTGAGAAGCCATTTCCTGAAAGCGCAAATAATCACGATATATTTCACCGGTTGATTATGACCATTATTAACGTTTAGGGAGTTGCAGTGGATTATTGTTTGAGGCGAACGGAATATTTTCTGCAAAACCATATAGAACATGAAAGCATAGTAATAATAGATACTGGAAATACAACAAAAACGTTACGTTTACGTTTCGTTTTGTTGTTTACTTGAAGCAACCATAATACTGTTAATTAATTGCGACATGCTCACCCCTATGTACTGGATAATTGCTTTTCAAGCGCAGAATCACATTCCAGACGATAATTAACAGATATAGTCGAACTTCGTTACTATATACCCTGCTTATAACGTTTACACTGCTACAACGCACACATCTCCAAGTCCCGATTTGTGTAATGCATTATTCCATTTGCCAGTATCGTTTACATCGTACACCTTTATAACGTAAATTTCAATACAACGTTCCAATTTTCGCTGGAAAAATGCATACTAGCCTTCGTTACAACGTACGGACACTATTCCTGGGCGTGTGGCCAGTAAAGTGACAAAGCAGACGAAGATTACTGCCTTTTTCAAGTTGTAAGTAAACGAACTGATTCAGTGGCATCAGCAACATTTAAACTCATCCATGACATCGGCGAAATTAACGCGGGCTCTTTCATTTCTTTGAGTGCAAATAACGGGAACAAAAGACGGGTGTCTTCAATACATTGTTTTTTTAAACTCTAAATTGACAAATTTGTTACAGATGTTATCATTAAACTTTCATGTTTTAATTATTGCGTTTCTTCTTAAATTAGCGTTCATTTTATGGGAATTGGTTACAACGAACTATCGTTATAAGGTACTGATTCTTAAGGTCTCTGGAGGTAGGCCCCCTACGTTGTAACGAAGTTCGACTGTGTCTGCCTCCCACATGTTTATTTTATAACGCGTGTGCCGAAAATGTACGTAGAAGCATAACAAATATTTAATTTCAATGACGTCTATATCCCAGATGGAATCGCCTACGCAATGGCAAACAATTACACGTAAAACGTATAGAATCAGTGCAGCAGTGCTGCGTGTGCATCGCTGGTTCAGCCATACCTCAAACAGTGGTCCCATCACCTTACACGGGCCGCACCAGGTCGCCCAGAAGTCAACTATGACGTACTTGTCGCCACCGTCTTTCAGCAGCGAGTGAAACTCCTCCTGTAACGGTAACTGACCCGTGAGAGAAGCTGTGTCAATTCGGCGCCACATGCCGCTTCTTTTATCCCCCTCCACACCACGCACACACATTCACGCGCCGCCACAACACAACACACACACACACACACACACCACACACACACACACACACACACACACACACACACACACACACAACATACACACACACACACACACACACACACACACACACACACACACACACACACACACACACACACACACACACACGCGCGCGCGCGCTCGCACACACACACACACACACACACACACACACACACACACACCACTCTGCAAGACACGACGCGATATAATTTATCCCCTTCGACTTCAACAAGGTGTAAAGTCGCGGTGTTGTAGCACCTGCCCATGCAGCGCTCTGAATTCAGCTATCTAGCTGACGATCCTATCCCACCCGTGTGTCATTGCGATTCGGGGATTTTGCGTGCAGCACAATTTTCTACAAACCCCTTAAATACGAAGCGTCTGCGATTTGCAGAGATGTGAGATTTTAGATGTCTCGGGGAATTCTGGCCATCTCGCCTCCGCCCTCACGCCCGCTATCGTTGTCAGCCCTGCGTTTGCACAATCGATTGCGGCTATATAGTTAATCTGGCGGATTAGTACAATAATTATGCGCCATCAAAATGCTACTACCCCACCGAAACACAAACCGCTGTGGGACGCCATGCTGACGCATAACCAGACAGCAATGCAATTTTAAGGTGTAAGCCCGCGGAATCAATTAATTGGTGTATGCAGCTGCGATAAATATATATATCTCGAGTAGGCCGTGCGGATACGGTTTCCATGGCAACAGCATTCAACCTACCTGCTACCTATGCAAAAAGTGTCGCTGCCTGTAGGGAAACCACAGGCAATCAATTCGCGATTTTGCTCGACCAGACCCTGCGCATTGTCGGTTAAAATTGCAGAGTGCAGAGAGCATCGGTCAATAAATTAGCCGTGGCCATAGCCGTAATTATGATAGGATCGAGTACAATTGCCCGCGTATATAGCCGTGCCGTGATTGGGTGACGTGCGCGTGGCATATGCCTACACGGCGTCGTTGTCTGCGCTAGTGAGCGAGCTTGTACGCGTACGCTAAGCACAAATGTAATCATTCGTTATTGTTAGTTGAATCATGCATTTGAAACTGAAAAGGCCCGCCAGCGAGGATACATCACGTAAACCACATCAATCACAAAAATTTTTCCACCCCGACGCTTGCAAGGCGCAGGCACACCTTACACCGTGCATTAGCATACACCGTAAAAGTGGAACAACGCCAAAATTAGGATCTCTGAACGAAACACCAAGCGTTTTCGCCTCTCTTTGATCATCTCCCTTACCTCGTTCATGAGCGTTCTGACAGCCATTGTTCAGTTATTCTCGTGGACAGTTTCGCTATACAGCAGGTAGCACACGGTGATTCTGAATGTGAAGATATCCGAGCGTTTATAGGAAGATGCCTACGCGTATGTATTGTCTCCGCGTTTTTTCAAAAACGCTTTTCCTGACATGACACATACGCGTCAATGAGTTTCGGCGGTCCGTCGAAACTTTAATCACGTTTATCTTGGAAACAGATCAACACTGCACGTGAAAGGCTCATTATAACTGCTGGTAAAATTGCACACCGCACAGTTTAGTCGTCCTGCCTTTTTTAAAGATTTGTGGTGACTGTGGTCCATCCAGCTTATACATAAACTCGTATTGGGATGACAAACGCTCCCGTGCTCGACAGTCAAGCCGCATAAACGCGCGACAACGATCCGAGAGTACCTGCTATCACCTGCGAACAACTGGCATTTGCGTGAATACCTGGCGGCGTCCCTGTGATAATAATAATGATCACTACTTGTCGCACGGTCTCTGGCGGAGTGCTACACTGACAGTCGCAGGCGTCGCAGTACACGTGATGGCGACGGGCGGTCAACGGCTCGATAGGTTTATAGAAATCGGACGCATACATACAGCTACTGCGGGTATAACTACGACCACCGTGACACCCTAAAGCAGATTGCTTGCCTCTAGATTTGTACGGCTTCGGTCGGTCAATACTACTGCATCACTGAGAGACGCAACCCGTAGTCTGCTTAGTTGGCGCAGGTGGCCTTGATATATCGCATATAGAACCGTCGTATGTTACTGGCATTGAGTGACTGGTTGTGATATTAACATCTTGTGCTACGAAATTTGCTCGTGCTGATGAACGTTTCTAGAGAGATGAGAATCGAACGACAGAACGATAGAAAAAAAGGCACAGAATGATACAGGTAGATAGATAGAGAGAAAAAGACAGAAAGACAGGGGGGAAGAGAACAAACAAGAAGAGAGAGAAATGGGAGGGAGGGAAGAAAGGAGGGAGGGAGGGAAGAAAGGAGGGAGGGAGGGAAGAGATAGATAGATAGATAGATAGATAGATATATAGATAGATATATAGATCGATAGATAGATAGATAGAAAGATATATAAATAGATAGCTAGATAGATAGATAGATAAATAGATAGATAGATAGATAGATCGATATATAGATAGATAGCTAGATAGATAGATAGATAAATAGATCGATGGATAGATAGATAGATAGATAGATATATAGATAGATAGATAGATAGATAGATAGATAGATAGATAGATAGATAGACAGATTGATAGATAGATAGATAGAGTAGATAGATAGATAGATAGATAAATAGATAAGATAAGATAGATAGATGAGAAGATACATAGATAAGATACATCGATAGATAGATAGATAAATAGATAGAGATAGATAGATTAGATAGGATACATACATATGATACCATAGATACATAGATAGATAGATAGATAGATAGATAGATAGATAGATAGATAGATAGATCAGATAGAATAAGATAGATAGAATAGGATAGATAGATAGATAGATAGATTAGATAGATAGATAGATAGATAGCATACATAGATACATAGATACATAGATAGATCCATAGATACATAGATAGATAGATAGATAGATAAGAATAGATAGATAGATAGATAGATATGATAGATAGATAGATAGATAGATCGATAGAAGACAGATAGATAGATAGAATAGATAGATAATCATAGATAGATAGATAGATAGATAGTATAGATAGATAGATAGGTAAATTAGATAGATAGATAGATAGACAGATAGATAAAGATAGATAGATAGATAAATAGATAGTATAGATAGCTAGATAGATAGTAGATAGATAGGTAGATAGATAGATTGTATTTATTATAGATAGATATGATATGATAATATGTATTTCGTATATGATAGATAGATAGATAGATGATAGATAGATAGATAGATATGATTAGATATGATAGATAAGATAGATAGATAGATAGATAGATAGATAGATAGATAGATAGATACGATAGATAGATAGATAGATAGATAGATGGATGGATAGATCGATCGATAGATAGTAGATAGATAGATAGATAAGATAATAGATAATAGATAGATCGATGGATCGATGGATCGATGATCGATGGATCGATGATCGATGGATGGAATGGATGGATGATTGGATGGATGGATGGATGGATGGATGGATTGGCATGGATGGATGGATGGATGGATGGATTGGATGGATGGATGGCTGGAAATGGATGTAGATAGATAAGATAGATAGATAGATAAGATAGATAGATAGATAGATAGATAGCATAGATAGATAGATCGATTATAGATAGATAGAATTAGTTAGATATATAGATAGATAGATAGATAGATAGATAAGATAGATAGATAGTATAGATTAGATAGATAGATAGATAGATAGATAGATAGATAGAATAGATAGATAGATAGATAAGATAGATAGATAGATAGATAGATAGAAGATAGATAGATAGATAAAATAGAGATAATAGAATAGATAGATAGATAGGATAATATGATAGATAGATAGATAAGATAGATAACGATGCGATAGATATTATAGCATAGAATAGATAGATAGATAGATAGATAGATAGATAGATAGATAGATTAGATAGAGAGATAGATAACTAGATAGAATAGATAGATAGATAGATCGATAGATAGATAGATAGATAGATTAGATAGATAGATAGGAGAGATAGATAGATAGAAAGATAAAGAGGTAAGATAGATTAGATAGATAGATCAGATAGATAGAGTAGATAGATTAGATAGATAGAATAGATAGATAGATATGATAGATAGATAGATAGATAGATAGATAGATAGATAGATAGATAGATAGATAGATAGATAGATAGATAGATAGATAGATAGATATAGATAACCTGGATTCCGCCGTCTATATGGGCTTCTTTATCATTATTTGGTCTTTTACATCGTTTTGACAACCCTAGTCCTAATTGGTTTATTAGAATATTTCTCTTAATTAGTTACGTTTTGCACCGAACATCTTGAAGTTTAACTATGATTGTTATACACTCTTGAAGTACAATTGTAAGTGAATGTAAGTAATTGAAAGTAAATACCATTGTAAGTGCATCCAGAGATGAAAACCAAATTTTTGAAACTGAAATATTCTGGGAGCGCAGATACCATTTACTCATGGGGCAAAATAAAATGACACTGAACTATTTATTGAGGAATTTACACTGACTATGACCCTGATTTCATGAGAAACATCGTAAACATTTCATCCAAACATCATACTTTTAAGAGCTAAACGTCACCCCGCCTCCTTACATTCCTCTACACAGCGACGTAAGAGAGAGGTCTATTGATACTGAATTCGGACATTATCTGCCAAAATAATAGCATATGGCTGTCTGGTTATATTTCCATTTAGTATTGATTCTCAACTCTAGAACATTTTTCGTATCACTTGTCGAAAAAACCATCACTCAATATAATATCGTTATTATGAACTGTAATTAATAATTTAAATTATATTTCCGTATAATAAATTGGCATTATAGCTATAGTAAACAAAGTTAAATAACAGAACATTTTTGTCACAAAGTGAGAAAATGTTTGGTGACGCAACCTTTATGATTCAACAGCCAGNACACACACACACACACACACACACACACACACACACAGTTCGTAAGTACCAGAAGTTATATAGATTTTGCGTTTTTGGTATCTTTGAGGTTTGCCGCTCATTGCGTTTTAGATTCCGAGGCTCACAGCCTCGTGCACACAAATAAGAGCTTATCACGGATATTCGCAGGCAGGCACACGCGTGCGCAAGCACGCAAACACTTCACACGCATATGTATACGCAGGCCCACATGCGAGCATACAAGCACCGGTAAATCGATTAAAATCTGACGTGCTCGACTGCACATAGTCGATAATAGCTGATATCAAGGGGGGTCCAATATTGACTGATTATCAAGATACGGCTGCTCCCCCAAATCCATTATGGAATAAGAGAAGGAAAGGAAGCTGTATGTGAGAGAGAGTGAAAGAGAGCGCGAGAGAGAGTGAGAGAGAGAGAGAGTGAAAGAGAGCGCGAGAGAGAAGAGTACAGAGAGAGAATGATAGAGAGAGCGAGAGAGAGAGAGAGAGAGAGAGAGAGAGAGAAAGAGGGGGAGAGAGAGATAGGAAGCAAGAGCGAAAGCTAGCGTGAGAGAAAGAGCTAGCGTGAGAGATGATACAGCGATCCACGATCGGTGGTGATTTGCAAAGAATAAGAAATACCAAACAGAGACGCAGAGATAGATGCACGACAATGTACGGGTAGCAACATCAGATTGCTCTTGTGTTTAATCTCCCCGCTCGGCCTATCATAAGCCCCTTCTGGCCTAGACAGTGGCTCCACACGCTAGTCGTCCCACACATATAGCCACGCAGAAAACTCTCTCGTATTTATATAGAAAATGTTTACTCTGCCCATGAGCGGTGGGTAAATCAATGCGCGTCCATATTATTGGGAAACTGAGGTGGATAGGGTTGCGTGTGAGATGGCATGAACCCATGAGTTTTAATACTTTGCTAGGAGGCATAGGTCGTGAACCGGATAGACACAGTGCTGGGATTGAGCGGGCGTGACCATACCCAACTGAGGTAGACGTGGGGGTATGTGGGATGATGCGTGATTGCCTAC